GAAAATACCCTGCAATTGTACTTTTGGTATATTAAACTGGTATACTTAAAGTATTCTAAATTGAAACAATTAATATTGTGCTTTATGCACTTTCATTGTGTGGAAGTAGTGCTGAGTTTCAAATAAGATATACTTAAGTATAGTTGATTGTGCTAAAGTGGAACTATTCCAAGTATACTTTAGGTACACATTTTAAATATCTTGCATTTCAAGACAGATATTTTACAGAGATCATATCTTTATTAAGAGTGGCATTAAAACATATTTTTAGGCATAATATTAAGAAATGTGCATTGTGCAATAAAGAAATACTTCAAATAAAGTTTCATAATTTTATATAATTAAAAGTCTTGTCAATAAATATGGTAATGGATTTAAGTACTGTATACTTAGTATGAAATAAAAGAATTTTAAATAAAGTATGGCATAGGTTTTTCTACTAGGGTCATCAACTTCAACAAATTCAGAAACTAGTTCTTCCTAGAACCTACAATCAGCCTAGTACCTTGTAACCCTACCATTGTTTCCTTGTGGACTGATCAAAAACATCTCCAACTCCCAGATGTTGAACTCCACTTCCATTGTTTTTTGTAGAAGCCAGTGAAAATACAATTGATGTGCAATTCGATGGAAAAGGCAATATTGAAATTATGAGTTCTTTGGGTTTGAATATTAAAATTACAATGCTGATGGCCCAAAAATATGACTGACTGAAGCAACAATTTATTGCAGAGGTGCTAATGTGATACATTAACACTGGGTGGTGTTTTTTTTATTTTACAGAGCAGCGAGAAGACACAACAGAACTTGGTAAGAGGAATTTGACTGGTACACCATCATTGTGAACATTACGAAGTAGCTTATCTTATTTGTTCTACAAAATATCTGGAATAAGCACTCTATATCTCTATCTCACAACTACTTGAAGATACAAGTTCCTTCTACGATCCACCTCAATTGACTGGCAGTGCTCACCCAATCCAAACACTAAAAGCCAAGATATTATCTTCATATTTTGGTGAGAAGTGATGTAATTTTTTGTACATTTTAAAGAGAAATCTTACAGTAAAGAAAAATATCTTACATGTTACTCATGAGTTTGTCTCTTGCAGTTGATGGAGATCCACACTTCATCATTGAGCTGCCAGATCAGAACGATGCTCTGTGTTTCAACATTGATGACAAACCTGGTACCATCTTCAACCTGGTTAGAGACCCACTTACAGGTGATTCATTCTGTCAAAAAACAAGAATTTTTTTTTAGATGTGGGTAATTGTAACTAGGTTTATTCTCTGTCTTCTCATATTTAATCGTATTCAGGCATTGTAGTGAATGGCCAGATCATTGGAGATAAGAAGGTCATCCCAGGAAACAAGATGCACACCTATTTTGGGCGCTTTGGGATTGTTCATGAGAAGTTTGGTATCAGATTGATGGTGAGCACAAAGGAGATCTCAGTGTCTGAAAACGAAAAACAGGCAAAATTCTCCTGGATTAACAACAAGACTTTAGAAGGACTGAAGTAAGTGAAAGAAATACATTTACATTATATAATAAGCAGTGCTTAAGTGATTGTTCCTTGAAAATTTTAAACTAAAATTAACAAAAAAAACAACAGCTTATGGGTTCAGAAAAAAAAATATGGCAGAATTTTCATGTTGGCATTAATTATTCTTCTATGAGAGTTCAATTTTGAGCACAATCCTCCATCTTTTGCTTTCTCCAGCATGGATCTGCAGGTGAGCAAAGATCTCAGTTTAACAGTGACCTTAAGGAACTCAGTCAAGTTTCTTATTATCCTGCACAAAATATGGCAGAAGCACCCATATCATCAAGACTACCTCGGGTTCTACACCTTGGACAGTCACCACCTTTCAAACAATGTCCACGGCCTTCTTGGTAAAATTAGATGTTCTTAAATATTGAAACTCTGTAAATAGATGAATCTTTGGTTGTCTCCACATTCAAGTTTGTTTGTCTTTCCAAACATTTCACAAATCATTTGTTGTGTGCCAAATGACATACTATACACTGTGCACTATGTACTCACTACAAACCTGTTCCTGGAGTGCTGCCATCCTGCAGATTTCAGCTCCAAACCCAATCAAACACACCTTAACCAGCTTATCAAGGCATTCAGGGTTACTTGATAATTACAGGCAGTGTGTTGGAGCAGGGTTGGAACCGGTGTCTGCAGGACGGTTGCTCTCCAAGAGCAGGGTTGAAGATCCCTGGTCTAGTGCATGAATTTATAAGGTTATTTTGTCATCCAGCGTAAGAGTCTGAAAGTCGTAAAGTTTGAAAGTAAAGCTGCTACAGTGCATTAAGATTCCAACATTCCACACTCAGCCAGTTAAGTGCAGAAAAAATTCACCTACATCTTTGTTAGCCTGAGGGTTTTTTCATCTCTTTAACAACAGCTTTCTTTGGACTCTATTTTTTACTGCAGGTCAGTTCTACCACGGCGTGAACTTTGAGGTCAGTGACTTGTTTCCAGGAAAGGACCCTGATAAACAAGATGCCAACATGTTTGTGAAAGGAAACAAGCTCACGGTTACCAGGTGAATGAAAATGAACATAAAAATGCATTGTTGAATTCACACTTCAAGAGAGACAGAAAATTCATTCAGATTTTCATTCAATCTCACATGACTCCAGGGGCTGGAAGAGAGATTTCAGACAGGACGTGAAGAACGGAGAAAAAGTGCCCTGTTGGTTCATTCACAATAACGGCACTGGGCTCCTTGATGGAGTTCACACAGACTACATAATTTCTGGTCTCTTCAAAACAATATAGACAACATCTGTCGCTCAACCGACCTTTGCACTACACACAAAGTACATGTTAGCTTTCATGTAGTCTTAAGTAAATAAGATGTGATGGTTTTATTTGGATATAATGCAATATCTGACAAAGCTGATAGTAGTGTTTTGTTTTTGTTTTTGTTTTACATACACTAATCCACTAATTGGCACCCTTGGAAATATGAGCAAAGGTGGCTGTGAAAATAATTTATCCTTCTGATCTTTCATTCCAAAAAATCACAAAATTCTAACCTTTCATTGAAGTATAACAATGGAAAATGGGGGGGAAATCTCATTATGAATTAAATGTTTTTCTCTAGTTCACGTTGGCCACAAATATTGGCACCCAATTATTGCAACATCCTTTTGCCAAGATAACAGCTCTGAGTTTTCTCCTATAATGCCTGATGAGTTTGGAGAACAGCTGACAAGAGATCAAAGAACATTCCTTCATACAGAATCACTCCAGATCCTTCAGATTCCCAGCTTTTTTTGGTTGATTTTGATGTTTGTTTTGGATCATTGTCCTGATGGAAGATCCAACCACGTCCCATTATAAGATTTCTAACAGAGGCAGTCAGGTTTTGTTCTTTTATCTGTTGGTATTTGATAGAATCCATGATGCCGTATGAACAAGCTGTCCAGGACCTCCGGCAGAAAAATAGGCGCCCCCAACATTAAAGATCCAGCAGTATATTTAACCGTGG